TTTATTGCTTCTCAGCTCTGAACTTAACCTTTCTTTGCTTTGTTATACTTGAACTAAGCCTTGTAAACCTTGTACTTTTTTGCCTTTCTAGAATAATGTTAGGTTCTGTCAGTAGAAGGTGAGGAATAAATATATCATTGAGGAAGTAACTTCTCCTGCCATTATCGTGTCTTTTTCTTTTTTAATATATTTGTTGTTGTTTTTTTTTAATCTCAGGGTTTGACTGCAGTCAAACTGCTGGCTATACCGTACTCACTCTCTTGTGAGTTTCATCAGCATTGTAAAAGGCAGATTCTTCAACCAATATTGCAGTGGGCAGATAGCAGTGGTCCTGCTCCACCGGCCTAGACTCCAAGGAACTTATTGGCGTCCAGTGGACTGTCACCACAGCTTGTCCAGCAAAGTGTTCCTCTTTTGGTACTCTCCCTCAGCCTCAAAGATAGCGGCTGCACCTAATATTTGCTAGTCTCATATTCCTTAAAGTTGTCTTTTACCCCTTTGAGTCGTTGATCACTTAGAAATTAATTTTTATAATTCTCCTCTTTAAAGTCTTTGTATATATATATTTTTTGTAACCCAAATGAATCTTGTTCAACACAGGGCTTGTGTGATTTACTGTGTTAATTTTACATAAAATAGAAGGAAATAAATCATAAGCAGACAACTTGGTTTTAACAAAGTGAATGCTCAGTTTAAGTATCACCAGGATGGGGATGTGGAATACTGCCTGATTCCCAGGGCCATGCCTGTTGGCACCTGCACCTTCTTCCAGCTCTCGGCATTTCTGCCCCAGATGCTGGCTGCATTTGACTTTATCACCATTGATCAGTTCTGATCCCTTTGGGGAATGTTAATTATAGGAGCAGTAATGTTTTTAGTGTTTAAATATGACACAGAAAAATGTTTAAACACTTAATGATTGCATTTTTCTCTCATGAAAGTGATGCTTATGGTGGGTGTTTTCTTTCTCATCTCTTGCCAGGACTTTGCAGCACAACTCATCTGCTTTCCCAAGTCACTTACAGCCGTGTGGTAGTAACCACTTTCCTGTGGTTTAGAGTTGCCTGCTTTTGTTCTGTTTAGATGTATTTAAGGATTTTTTGTTTCTCCTGAGATAAGTGTTTGACTGTGTAACCTAGGCTAGCCTTGAACTCCTGGTCTCCTGTATCAGCCTTCTGAGTGCTTGGATTGCAGGCATGTACCACTGTGTCTGGTTAACAGTACAGCTTGCTTGCTTGCTTTTCTTCTCTCTCTCCCACCCCTTCTTTTTTCCTTCCTTCCTTTCTCTCTTTCTCTTTCTCTCTTTTTCTCTGTCTCCTTCCTTCTCTTCTCTTTTCCTTTTCTTTTTTTTCCTCTCTCTTTTTTCTTTCTTTCTTGTGCTGGTACTGGGGTTTGATCTCAGGACCTGGGAGCTATCCCTGAATTTTTTATTTATTTTTGCTGAAGACTAGCACTCTACCACTTGAGCTACAGCTCCATTTCTGGCTTTTTGGTGGCTAATTGGAGATAAGGAGTCTCATAGACTGTCTTGCCCAGGCTGGCTTCAAACCCTGATCTTCAGATCTCAGCCTCTTGAGTAGACATTAGTACCCAGCTGAATACAGGATTTTTTTTTGGGTCTGGTCATGGGGCCTGAACTCTGGGCCTGGGCGCTGTCCCTCAGCTCTTCAGCTCAAGGCTAGTGCTCTACCACTTGAGCCACAGCACCACTTCCACCTTTTTTTTCCTTTTTGCTTATTTGGTGCTGAGGAATCGAACCTAGGGCCTCAGGCATGCAAGGCAAGTATTCTACCACTGAGCCACCTTCCCAGCCCCTGAATACAGGATTTTTAACTGGACCAATCCTTTCTCCCTCCTATCATCCATATTTGAATTGTGATTTTTGAGGACACAGGAGATAAATAGAATAAGAATGTCAGCTGATGATGGCAGTCCTTCCTTGCCCACACAGAATCATTCTGAGATAACCAGGAACAGACAGATAAATCCTGTATATACTGTGCACAGGCACCAATAATGAGGTCTAATCCATAAACTAGGCATCATAAGAGATACTGATATAAAACAGTTACAACAGTGTACTGTGGTAAGTTATGTTGATGTGTTACTTCTGTCTCAAAGTGTCTTCCTGTACTGTACTTTCTTTCTTGTGTTGATAAGAGGTGGTAAGTGCTTCCCTAGTGAGAGGAAGTGGGGCCAGTCACTAGGTATGGTGGCATTGTTAGGCTGCTATTGAATTTCTTCCTTGAACACAAGCATTGTGATTTGACATTCAGTCTGGTAGCCAAGATGGCTGCTGTCACCAGTGGGTGGGTAGCTTATATAGCATGTATGTATGTATGACTAGGATGGAGCTGAGTGAAACAACTCAAGATTTCATCATGTTGTCCACAGTGGCTTTCAGTTTTAAATTTATGATTTATTTCTAGAATTTCCCACTAAGTGTTTTGGGGCCTCGTTTGATTTTGGCTAACTAAAGATCATGACTTGCATTATTGCCATTATTTGCATTATTCCATACTTATGCACATAGTACCCAAGTTAGCACAGCATGTACCGCCGCAGTCTGAGTCCTGGAAGTTGCTGTTGGGACAGATGTTCTCCCAGTTTTTTGTTTTTTTTTTGTTGGTCATGGGGCTTGAACTCTGTGCCTGAGTGCTGTCCCTCAGCTCTTCAGCTCGAGGCTAGTGCTCTGCCACTTGAGCTACAGTACCACTTCCGGTTTTCTGGTGGTTTATTGGAGATAAGAGTTTCACAGACTTTCCTGCCCGGGCTGGCTTTGAACCTCGGTCCTCAGATCTCAGCCTCCTGAGTAGCTAGGATTACAGGCGTGAGCCACCGGCGCCCAGCTCTCCCAGTTTTTATAGTTGTTCTGTGTTCATATTGCCAGAACAAGGGCTTTATGAATACTCTCCTTTGTAACTCTTTTCCAGTCTCAGGTCTACAAGCAAGTGTGTGTGTTTGCTTTGCAGGGGCACTGATGCCTCCTTGGTATCCCTGCTTGTTCTCTAGTAGGGTCTTATTCTTTCTACGTCCACAATACATAACTTGAGTTTTGTTATATGGAGATTGCCTTTTCTTATTCTTTGTTTGCTTTTGGAATATGGTTATCTTTTTGACTCTCTCCTTTTTATTTTGGTGGTGGTTGGGTTTGAACTCAGGTCCTTGGGCTTTCCAGGCAGATGCTTTACTACTTGAGCCATGTCCCCAGCCCTTTTCTTGCTTTAATTTTTCAGATAGTGTCTCTTGTTTTTGTCTCTGGAGGGCTCCAAATTGAGGTCCTGATTAGCTATGTCTCCAAGTGTGCAAACATTCAAGCTCAGCTTTGTTGAGATAGGGTCTTGCTAACTTTTTTTTTTTTATGCTAAGGCTGGCATCAAACTTTGATTTTTCCCAGTCTTTGCCTCTGTGTAGCTGGGATTTTGAGAGATGGTCTTGCTCTGGTAGCCCATGGCAGCCAGGAGCTCATGATTATCCCGCTGTAGACTCTAGGCTGGGATTACAGACTTGTACCACCATACCTGGCTTCTTTTTTCTTAAATTTGCAATGACTTTTCATTTAAAGGTTTTTGTGCATATCACTTCTTATTTATTTATTTGTACTGGGGCTCCAACCCAAGCATTAAGTATAGCACGCTAAATGAACATGTGCTCTTGCCACTAAGCCACAATCTAAATCCTTTTTGCTGTTTTTGATTATTTTCTATCACTTAATTTATGAGTTTTTATATATTCTGATTCTTTTTTATCTTTATATGTGAAGTTTTGCCTTATTTTTAAATATATACAACTTAACTTTTCAGAGGACATGTTTCTCTGAAGGCACTTCCCTCCCCCTTCCCCCATAGTAATCTTCTGATAGTTTGTGGAGTGAGGCTGTGGTTACTTTCAGTTCCTGTGATTCACACGCAACTGTTATCCAGTATGTAGGCTTATTTTTAGATGGCATTGTTCAGGTTGACTTCATATCATTGCCTGTTATTCGCTCTTCATTTGGTTTTGTGTTGTGTTCCAAAATCTGGAGGTTAACTCACAGATTCACTTCCATTTGTGTTGTCCTTAGGATCCTCACTTTGGGTGCTATCCCTCACAGGTTGCGTTAGACTAAGGTTTTGACCCCTGTTTAAAGTCACACAACACATGCATGTGTGTACTCACGCTACTCCTTTGCAGAGTAGAGTGAATTGACCTGAGGGTACTTGAAGCTTAGAAGTGACTTGAAGTAACTTGATCAGGATTTCCCAGCAAACCAGTAACATATTTGGGATATGTTTTTTGATTCTAGTCCAGGCTTTTTTTTTCTTTTTGCCCCTAGTAAGCATTGCTTTTCCAGAATTAGTTATGGTATACTTAAGCTTGTGAGAAAGTGGGTTGAGATGCATCTCTTGTTGAATTCATAGTGGGAAACGAGCATAGGAATACTCATTAGGAATGTCACCAGCTCTGCCTTTTCTGTGGATCTGAACAGTCACAGGTTCTTATCATTCCTGGAAGGTAACGTCCATGCATGTGTGGATGGTAATGTAATCTTCACACAGACCTGGGACTGACAGGGTGCTGCTCTCCTGCCCTTAATGCCTTGTCCTCTCTTCATTCCTCTGAGTGTGTCTGCAGGCTTTGTACCGTGTACTGAGCATTAGAGGGCTGAACTTGGTGAGGGCCTCGCTGCAGCACTGAGGAGTGTGTGCTCATGCACACACTTTGCTCCTGACCTCACACAATTTTTTTTTTTTTAATAGTCCTTCAGCCATAGATGATATGCCACTGGAACTTAAAACTAAATAATATCTGGAAAGCAATTGCCGAAATTGTCTTACTTTTGCAAAACCAAGAGATAATCAAATAAACTTGAGCCATTATAAATCAGAATTGGCTAGTACCCCTCACGTAAGTTTTGGGATAAGTAGGAATTTGAACACACACATTAGTTTTACTTAAGGAAATTGGTTGGAAGACTTACGGGATGATAACTTCGAGTATTGCTTTGTTTTGTATTATAGTGAAAATGCCTCGTGCAAAAGCAGCTCAGGCTGGAAGACAGGGCCCTGCGAAGAGACGCCTTGCAGAACAGTTTGCAGCTGGGGAGATAGTGACGGACATGTCAAAAAAGGAGTGGAAACTGGGACTGCCTGTTGGCCAAGGCGGCTTTGGCTGTATATATCTTGGTGAGTTCCTGACTGCTCCTGTCATTATCATTATCACTCCAAAGGCTTTCATGCTTTCTTAGCAAGAATGATTCCTCCTTTGTTAGCTGTTTTGTTTCTCATGACCTACAGTCACCTAATGTATATGGTTGCATAAAAATTCATCTGACATGGAGGAGTAGAGAAGTGTTCATTTAATTATAATAGAGAAAGATTGAATTACATGTAATATTGTCACTGCTGAGTACTACAGCTATAGATTTTTAATGTATTTATAACCTTAATGTCTTTTGAGATGCAGTAGAAGATGCGCACATCTTTTCTTCTCTACTTCCACCCAATTAGAATACACTTCGTCTGTTTTTGACTACTTTAATAGATCTTCTATAGATGTAGATTTCCTTTTTCTATGCTGGATTTAGGAGAATGCATTCTAGGCCAGCCAAATGCACCATTCATTAGCATACTTACCTCGAAATTTTTGGAGACCCGTGTAGAGCCGTGAAATCAGAAAGCTAACTAAATTGTTGATTTTAAAAGTACTTTGCCTGATTGCTTCTTAAAGCTGCCTGCTTCTCCCAGAGAATCAGCGCCTGCTTCTCTAAGAGTCAGTGAGGATGCAGTGCAATTGGCATTTACTTTCCTTCTAACTTCTCTAGTTTCTGTTCTTATTCCACTTCTCATCTCGATTTAATTAGTAAACTGTTCAGTTTCTCTCGTGGAAGTTTATATAGCATTTTATTTTTAGCACTGAGTGGAGCTTTTTTTGTTCAGGGAGTAATCTTAACTCAGAAGACTAAGACTGTAGTATAGATTAGTGCTACCTGGCAGTTTGTTAGACCCGCACATTCCTGGATCCCATCTCAAACCTGGACTTCCAAAACTTACCAGTGGCACTCACCTGCTCTTCTGGCTATATAGGAGGTAGAGATCGGGAGGATTGAGGTTCCATGACAGCAGAGGCAAAAAGTTCAGGAGGTTCTCATCACAACAGAAAAGGCTAGGTGTGATGGCATATACCTGTCATGCCAGCTTTGGTGGGAAACATGAATAGGATCTTGTCCCGGTGAGTCCTGGCACAGAATGAGACCCTGTCTAAAAAGTTACCAGAGAAAAGGGTTGGAAGCATGGCTGAAGTGGTAGAGTGTGCCTGCCTAGCAAACACAAAGTCCTGAGTTCAAACCTAGTACTGACTGATCAAAACAAATGGATGCCTTAGGAAGAGGCCCACCAGTGTGATTGACAAAGCCCTTCAGGTGAGCCTGGTACATGTTCAGATTTGAGAACCATTAGCTGAAAAAGCAGCTGCTTTTCCTCAAGGGGTCTCACTGTACCTCATCATCTGTGAGGTACAATTTGTCTGCTGCTCTCTTTGGGCTTGTCTTCATGAAGAATAGCTTAAAACACAGGGCTTTGCTTATATGTTTTTGTCACTTGCCTTTGTGGGAAGTAGGTGTTGATGCTCTCTGTGGTTTGGAGCCAAACCAATGAGTTAGGCTGTCACTCCAGGAGAAAATCCTCAAATTGTCAAAGAGTAGTAGCTGTACTAGATGTGTATATTTTTGATTGTTGCCTCTATTGTGGAATGTTTGAATTTGTGACATATTAGTGGGCACTTGTATCTAAGTAACACAACTTAATTTGCTTTTGTAGCCTTCCTCAAATTGGAACTTACCATGTAAGTGTGGTGTTTTGAATTTTTTACTAAGAAGTGTCATCTGATAGTGTTTTACTAAGAAGTGTCTGCTGATAGTGTTTTTAGTATCCTGTGGTTTGACAGTTGTTCATTAACAACTTTGCAACTTCTTCTGTAAACTTCGATTGTTTAGCCCAGAGAAGAAGAGATTTGCTTAGGTCTTGCTGCCCACACTTTATCTCTCTGTCCACAGGTATTCAAACGGCCATTTTCAAAATCACCAGCAACTTCTGTTAGCGAACTAAAATTTTACTTTGACTTTATTTATTGTTGAGCGTTTGATACTCAGTATCTTTCTTTCTCATAGAAATTGCTCCCATTATCTTACCTTCCATGGTTAACCATTCCTCCCCCATGCTTTTCTTCTCTGGCTGTGCTTAGTCTTCTTTGTAGGTTACCTCTGTATTCTTCAACTTTCCTTCCTTGGCCTACTTTTTCTTCCTGGTATTCTTTCTTAGTGATCTCACTGATTTTCACAGCTTTCTGTCACTCTTTGTATTGTTGACTTCCATTATCTTTTGTCTGCAATGAAGACTTGATCTCTTCCATCCTTGTCCAGGGCTTCCAGCAGATCTCTTCTTGGATGTCTTTAGGCATTTTCTTTTTCATTTTGTGATCCTTTCATGATTAGAAGATTATCTATGTGAGTGATAATTGTTAAGCTAGGAACTAGGAAATTGTTTCTGAAAATTCTTTAATGGTCCCAGCACCTCATGTAGTCCTATTGCTGTCACTGATGTCTCAAATCCATCCATTTCTCACCTACCACTACCGTGGGTCAGGTAGTCTTACGATGTCTTGTCTGGACTTGCATTGTATCAGTCAATCTTCTTTGCCCAGTTTCTGCCCTTTGGATCTCCCTGGTCATCGTGTGGGCCTAAGTGATCTAGCATGCTAATGAGACCATCCTATTTACCCATTCAGTGGTTCCTCAGTTCCTCAAAAGTCAATTAAGAATGATGTATACAACTCTTCATATGTAAGTTCAGTTTTCTTTTTTGCAGCCATTATACTGTCCCTTTGCCTTGATCTGTGTATAGGCTGCTGTTCCTTTTTTATTTTTTTGATGGCACTAGGGTTCGAACTCAGGGCCTCATGCTTGCTAGGTTGGGCTATACTATTTGAGTTATGCCTCTAAATTATTACAGTTCTTAAAAATAGTTATTATTGCAAACTTCACTGCCTATATTTCCCAAAGAAAATTGAGCTTGGCTGCTTCCAAGCACAAATACCTTTTAGAGTAATGTTCCTTTGAATGCAGGGCCCTGCTTTCTTAATGACCCAATTTTCTCTTTCTTATCACTTCAAAATGAACTTGAATATTTTTACAAAAGTGACCTTCTTCTTTGGTATTGTCAAAAGAATTAAAGCTTAGCATCAGAAATAATATTATTCATAATCTAACATAAACAAAAATCATTCTTTGAACTTATTAGAGTTTATAGACTATGGAATCTTTTATCCCTACATTTTTGTTTTTGGTTGGTTGTGGGGCTTGAACTCATGGCCTGGGTGCTGTCTCTGAGCTCTTTTGCTCAAGACTAGAACTCTTACTACTTGGAGCCACAGCTCTACTTCTGGTTTTCTGGTGGTTAATTGCAAATAAGAGTGTAGGGACTTGACTGCCTGGGCAGGCTATGAACTGCTATCCTCAGCTCTCAGCCTCCTGAGTAGCTAGGATTATAGGTGTGAATCACCAGCAACTGGCCCTGCTATTTTCTGTTTTCAGGATTTAATGTATTTGTACAATATGATTCAGTTTTTTCAGCTTGGGAGAAATAAAGTTAAAAACTAATAAATTTCGTGTCCTCAAGTAATGGGCATAGTAATAAAAAAAACCTCAATGATATCCTTTGTTTAAACAATGTATGCAACATAATTAAGACATTTTATGTTATTTTTATGTCTTGAAAACGCTTTTGTTCTACTTGAGATAAATTTCCATATAGATCACTCTCTATAGTTCAGTGACTTTAGGCATAAGTAAACATCTGTGACCCTGTTACCATAATGCACCTAGTAAACATACTGTTATGTATAAAAAGTATCCTCTTGTTTTTTTTTTTTGGTTGGTCATGGGGCTTGAACTCTGGTCCTGGGCACTGTCCCTGAGCTCTTCAGCTCAAGGTGAGTAACCCCCCCCCCCCCCCCAGCCCCCCCCCCCCACACACTTTTTTCCTTTCCCCAAACCAAGTTTAGGGCAGATACTATATTCCCTTCGTGTTTACTTTCTCTGATACTTTCCATACTGCACTGAAATTACTTTTCTTAATTCTATATTAAATGTGTTTTTTGACAATGGGACAACTCTTCTTGTTTTCTTTGTGGCTAGCATATTTTGCAGTAAATACTGTTTGAATGAATTATTGAGCTTCCTTTCCCTCCTCCTGTTCTCATTTGAACATGCAGTATTACTGGAATGCTATCTTTATTTTAATATTTTGTTAAAAAAACCCTCAACTACTTTATTACTAATTCAATAACTTAAGTGATGTTCCTTGGGACTGTTTCTCTCTTTCCCAAATTAGCCATTTTTATGGGAGACCTTTCTTCTTTAGTCTGAAGTACTTCTGCAGCCCTTCCAGACTCTGGTGCTTCCCAGCTGATTGGTAGCCAATATCTTATCTTGGTGTCCATTGCTGCCCTTCTACTTCTGTGGGAGAGTGCTTTGGGGCTTTGTTCTTCTTTTCTTTGTCGGCCTTTATTCTCCAAGGATCTCTCTCACTCTTGAGGCTTTAAATATGTAAGCTTTTTAGATTTTATTTTTTGACAGTTTCGGGGATTGAACCAAGTATTTCGCACGTGAAAAGTATGCACTCCCAACTGCTGAGTTATATTTCCAGCTCTCAAAAATAGCTTCCTTCCCTCCCTCCCCCCTCCTTTCCTTCCTACTTTTCTTTCTTCTCCTTTGTTGCTATACCGGGTATTGAACTCAGGAACTCCTTAAGCAAGTGCTTTACCACTTGAACTATGCCCCTAGTCCAGTAAATAGCTTTCTGTGTAGACAACTCTCTCTCTCTCTCTTTCTCTCTCTCGCTCTGTGTGTGTATATATGGTTATTTTCACATACATGTAAATGTATGTATACATACATGTACATATACACATATACACACATTCCTCTTTCCCCTTCCTCCCTCACTCTGATTGTCATCAGCGTTCACTGAGCTTCCTTGTTTCATCATCATATGCATTTCAAACTTCAGATACTCTCAAACTGGATCCACATACAGTTCTCCTGTCAGTAGCAGCTTCCTCTTTCTAGTTGCATAGGAGCCACCCATACCTCATCAAGGCGAAATTCTCACACTCTCTTGACTCCATCAAAAAATTCTGTCGTCTGTCCTTTGAGGGTCTGACTGATTCATAATCTTTTTTTTTGTTGTTGTCCGTGGGACTTGAACTCTGGGCCTAGCTGTTCCTGAGCTCTTCAGCTAAAGACGAGCACTCTACCAATTGAGCCACAGCGCCACTTCCCATCATCTGACTAGCACTTCTTGTCTGCTTCCAGGTTGGCTTGGCTAAGCACCTTTGCTTACCTGGTGTAATGTTTACCTGCCTGCTCTGCTCTTGCCCCTCTATGCCATTATCCTTAGGAAGTCTTCTAAAAGGTTTTGTTTTGGCCCTTCCCCTTCTCAAAACCTTCTGGTGGCTTCTCATCTCCTTTATAGAACCAGCCAGAATCATAGTATGTGTCACCTGGGGAGCCCCTCATGTCTCTTCTTTGCTGCTTTTCTGATCTGCTCCCTGCCACTTCTCATCTCACCTTTTCTCTTCCAGCGCCTTTGGCCTCCTGACTGAAGGCATTTCTAACCTGACCCTACCTCAAAACCTGTGGTCTAGTCTGCCTGAAATGCAATCTGAAGTATTGATCTTGATGAATTTTCCCCTACAGTGGTATTTTTTGAGAACTTTGGCTCTAGATGTTCCTTTTTAGATTGTATAGTTTTCAAAATTTAAGAAATGATATTAGTCATCATTTTTTTTGGATTCACCGTATGTATCTATCTATATCTGTTTATCATTCACTATATGTATCTCTCTCTCTCTCTCTCTCTCTCTCTCTCTCTATCTATCTATCAAGGCCCATGAGTACTTTTGGGTTAAAGAAACATTTAGCTTGTTCAACTTGGGGCTTTCTGTATATCACTGGTGAACTAATGGGAAAAAACAGAACACAAGATGGCTTCCATCTTCAGTATTAAAACACGAGAAAAGAATGAAAATTGATGAAATACATTGTAACAATATTCTGAAATGTATTTGGGAACTGGAATTTATAAAGGTATTACAGACATACAGGTGTAAATATGCATACAATATTCATAATAATGTTATTCTGATGTTATGTACTTTTCTTCTTTAAACAGCTGATGCAAATTCTTCAAAATCAGTTGGCAGCGATGCACCCTGTGTTGTAAAAGTGGTAAGACAATATTTCAGCTTATTTTGTCTTTTTTTTTTTTTTAACAAAAGTTTATATAGTATTTATTTTGTAAATCATCCTTTGGTAACTAGACTTAATTAAGCCATAAGGTATTATTTTTTAATAATGTTTCATAAATGGTTAATGATACATAAAAGTACCTTTTATTTAGTTTTAGGTAACTAAATAAAAAAGTTAAAAAAGTCCCTGTGTTCTTTTGACTTAGAGTGGCATTAAGGTTTGGGGCAAAGTCAGTGGAGTGTAGAGGAACTAAGCAGTTGTGGTTCCTGCCTTTTATCTTAGCTACTCAGGCGGTAGGGAAGGAGGATCAAGCCACCCAGGGAAGAAAAGTCCACAAACAAGACTATCTCCAAATTATCTAGCAAAAAGCTAGGCTGGAGTGGTAGAGTACCACTGAGCGAGCATGCTGAATAAGCATGAGATCCTGAGTTTAAAAAAAAAAAAGTGTCCAGGATGTAGATGTGGAATAAGACACCAACTGATCTGTTCTTCCAGCTGTGTAGTAGGTGAGATGAAGTATTGTATTATCCCTCAGTACTATGCTAATTTGGTGTAGTTTATTTTGCATTTGCTTCTGGACTTTCTGTTGGTCAATTTTCTGTTTATTCCCAGTTTTTTCCCTTTAGTATATTTAATTGCTTATTTGTCATTTAATTAGTTGTGATTGTTGAATCTACTATATTCAAGTTGAAATTAGCTCATGATGAGTAAAGATTAGCAGCACCCTATCTGTCATGGATGCACTTTCAATAGCCAGGCCCATTTATAGATCTACTAGTAGTGGACATTTTAACTAATTTTTTCATCCATTATCTATTTTTTTGCTTACTACCATTTGCATCTTTGATCTTAGTTCTTGGATACATGTAAAGAACATGTTTGTTTTTTATGTTTCTATAAAAAATTAGAAGAGCCAGCCAAATGTCTTACTTGGGGAAATTAACAAATTAAGTCCTGTTCCTCTTTTATCCTCACAGTTGACATAACTCAAGAATTATCTCATTGTTATGTTGTGGGCTCTTTTCAAACGCAAGTATGCTTGACCCCTACACACTAGCTTTCTTGATGTAGAATTGTTTTAGTGATTTATTTTTTTAAGCTTTTTATCTTTCTTTTTTTGCTAAGAGGCATATTTTTTACATGGACATACATAAAAACAGTTTGAAGACTTCTGACACATGCATATAACTGTTTAACACTCACTAAGACACAGAACATTTCCATCACCCAAAAAGATTTTTTTTGTGTCCTTTGCAGTAGAACTTCTGTTTTCCATTCGGGCTATTACAAATACAACTTCTATAAACATTTTTTTTTTTTTTTTTTTTGTCAGTTGTGGGGCTTGAACTCTGGGTCTTGAACTCTTCAGTTCAAGGCAAGCTCTCTGCCACTTGAGCCACAACGCCACTTCCAGTTTTCTGGTGGTTAATTGGAGATGAGAGTCACAGATTTTCTTGCCTGGGCTGGCCTTGAACCTTGATCCTCAGATCTCAGCCTCCTGAGTAGCTAGGATTACAGGTGTGAGCCACTGGTGCCCTCAGCTGTGAACATTCCTCTATAAGCGTTTTTGTAGGTGTAGGTTTTTTTTTTATTTTAAATAACTTATCTTGGGATTTGAATTGTTGGTTTAGTGGCGAAAAATGAATTAAACTTATAGAAAGCACTGGAAAGATTTCCAAAGCAGTCCATTTTTCGTGTCCCAAGAATAATGGAAGTTGTCATTGTCTGTTCTCCCCTCTGTTTTCTGGGACCACTTCACTGGGCATAGAACATTGTGGTATTATAGTTCCAGTTCTCTCCCCTGTTTTCTGGGTTAGTTCCTCTGTTTTCTGCCACTTCACTGGGCATAGAACATTGTGGTATTATAGTTCCAGTCTGCATTTTTTTTTTTTTGATGACCAGTTTGAGTACATCCTCATTGTACTAACTGGCTATTCATCTTTATTTGTATCTGTGAGGCACCTGCCTCTTTACTCTTTTGCCCAATCTCTTTGAAGCAGTTTTTTTTTTTAATAACTGAATTGTTGCTTTTTATAATGTGTAATTAAGAGTTATTCTGAATACAAGTCCTTTTTCAGATATGTGTTGGTAATATATTCCTCCAGTTTATAGTTTTGTGTGTTTTGAATACTTTGAGTTCATCTTTTGAGCTGGACCAAGGTTTTACTTTTATTCTGTGACTTGGTAGTTAAGTTGATATTTGAGTCAAATTTGCATTTCTAATACATAGACCTCGTAGTCAAATTGTATATGCTTTTAACCAATACTGAAATTGCTTTGCTAATATTTTGTGAAGGATTTTCATGGTTTTATTCATAAGGAGTATTGGCTTTAGTCCTCCCCTCCCCCCTTAGTATTTCTATGTTTAGAATTTTTAAGCTGGTGGCTTGGTTTTGGTGTCAGGGTCATGTTGGTGGATGATTGGTCTTCTTTGTACCCTGTGTCTTCTCACTCTTTAAGCCTCTAGAAAAGCCAGGGCTTTTCAGGTCCTGAGCTACCTGTTGTCTGATTTGTGAAAATAGTACTTTCTTATTTTTTTCTCCTTCGATATATATTCAGAAGGTAATACATAGTGATCCAAGTTTAGTGTCCAGACTGTGTCTCCTGCCATTCTCCTTCCTTGATGTCCTATTGCTTTAGATTTCTTTTCACTGTGCAGTAGCCTGCTTTGAACTATTCAGCTTGCTGCTAAGGCAGAGGAACTAAAGTTCTTACTATAAAATTGTATTATTTGCATGGAATTTTAGAGAATATTTCCACATGTGATGTATACAACAAATTAAAATACTAAAATTTATAAAGGATAACACACTGAGGCAGTATTATTGACTTTCCCTTTGCTCCTTGCAAAGTTACTGTAATAGCTCTAATTGTACAGATCACATCTAATAGCCTCATGCTTCTAGGTTTTATCTTTTATCTCCAACTAGATGTGAAATTATCTAGTAATGACCTTATTTTAAACTTTGTTTTCCTTTTATAGTCCTTAAATGCCTATTTAGTTTCTTAAGTATTTTTCATCCATAATTTCCACCACCTTTTATTTCTCTTTCTGTTCATTTACTCTAATCTTCTTGATGCCCTTTTCATTCCTAGGACAGACCCCATTTTCCCTTCTGATAGCTTTATCATGTGCAAAGTTAAATGGATCATCAGTTACAACCATGGAAAATGAGTGTCACATCTTTCCAATATCAGAACTGTTTGTTGAACATTAAGGGCTATTGAAGGTTATGCTTCTGGTTTTCTTGTTTTAGTGGTACTGGGGATGAGCCTTGAGCCTCATGTCTGTTAAGCAAGTGCTTTACTGTTGAGCTACACCCTGTACCCAAAGATCATAGTGTCAGAGAACATGTAGTACCTACCCACTGGGATCCAAAGCCCTGTGTAAGGTATGAAGATTGTTTTTATAAAATGCCTGTATATGAAGAAAATATGTCAGAATGTTTACAGTTTTTCAAGAACGAGCATGTGTTTTTAGATAAAAACCTCCAATGTACGTGAAACTGACTTGTGGGCATATGAAGCAGTGATTTGCAATCCTAGTTGTGCTGTAGAATCATAACCTCGGGGGTAGGACCTAGTCATTGGTATTTTAGTAACATTCACCAGGTGATTTCCTTTGTACATCAAGGCTGAGAACTATGGAAGAAACTGGTGTTGAGGGCACGTTAGGTATTTTATATGGAGTTATGTCCATTCACTTTTTAATTCTTGTTCTGAGATCCTTTTCCTAGGGATTGCTTCTGGTATCAGCTTTTATTTTCATATGGAAGACTTGTCAAAGAATTGGGTTATTGCTGATATATCTACTGTATGAAAAGCTCTAAATGGTTAACCCATAAAATCTTCTATTTGGTTTTGCCGTGAAGTTAAGACAGACATACTCAAGATGGGTGTTTAGGCACTTACTACGAATGTTCTCCCCATACCCAGTGATAGTCTGTGTTTTTGGTCTTTAGTCTTGGCTCATGTAAGCAGCTGTGGAGCTGTGATGCTGGGTCATCCTGGCTCACTGTACTTAGCTTCTAGATAGTGGAGATACTGTGATTATTTATTCATTTTTAAGCGGGAAATTGGTAATAGTTAGATAATGCATGTGGAGTCTCTCTTGCCTCTGCCTCTCTCCTCTGGTCTCTTTCTTGTCTCTGTCTCTGTCTTTCTATATCTATATCTATACCTATATTCCCCAGCTGGAATCACCCTTTGTAGTCATGTCAGGAGCAGACCTGGAGATGGAGGTTGGGTTATTTTTGGCTTGTATAAACTAAGTGCCAACTGGTAGAAAATTGTATTCTAAAGCTCCTGGCAAAGAAGTTTGCTGACTGATGTTTAATTTTACCTGCTGATGTTATGAGAAGTGACCTGAATTTTCAATTCAGATATAATATTTTTTTTGTAGGAAGGAGAAACTTTGTACATCTTCGTTTTTAAATGGCAGCCAGTTGCTTTTAGATGGTGCCATTGAAATGTATCACATTTTATTTTTTTTCTGTTGTCATCTTCATTTTGACACTTAGAAGTCTTAAGGAAACGTTTAGTGATATTCTAGTTAAAATGTCAGTCCCAATTTCTTTTCTAAATCTTGGCTATTACAGAGCTGGCAAAGTATTTTAGATTTGAAATATGTTAATAAAACTTTAGTTATGAGTTAAGGTATTTTCTTCAACAGAAATAGCTAGCTTTGGCTAGTGTGCAGTGCCAAGGAGTAGCTCCTTTATTTTCTCATAATGGAAGCTTATTGGATTAGTAAAAGTATGAAATGAGCTCAAAAGGCCTTCATTGTAGTAAGGCTTTCATTATAATGGCCTAATGGGTATGGTTGACTCTCATTATTTTAAGTTAATAAATTATTGCTTGAAGGAAACTTAAAAATTAAAGTTGATATGACAGAGTTTGGAACTGAATAAATCAAAATTTCATATTGATGGTAATAAGCTAGGAGTTGTCTTATGAAAACCCTTTTTCAGGCTTAGTTTTATTAACGAGCTATTCCAAAAATTAACCAAAGTTCCTTCTCTTTGATTTCCCTTGCATTGATTCTGTGATTCGTGTTCATTTGTTTGTTTTATACATTCTCTGATGTCTTTGGCTACCCTTGTTGACAGGGAGAAACCACAGGATATGGAGACTTGAGTGTGTGGCTTGGTTCTGTTTTGAGGAGTCAGTGACTTGCTGAGCCCGTGTATGCCAAGGCTGGTATCTTACAATACGGGGTGTTCTAAAACCAGGCTGCACGTGTAGCTGTCAGGAGAAAAGCTTATGTTTAGGTTCTGATACAAGCGTGTACAGGTTGACCAACATGCTGTGAAGGGCTCATCATTCATAACTGGGTGCTGCTTCACTGAAAATTGGCAGTACCTTCCTGTAAGCACGAATCGATCACTTACATAATTTTTGAATTACAATAAATCTGAGGTAATAGAACTGTTTGGTTTTATCTAAATCTCCAGGAGTAAAATTGATTAGTAGTTAAGCAGATTGAATAAAAAAGAAAGTGAATATATTTCAAGTATTTGCAAAGGATCTAGTACCCAGAGAGCTCATGTTAAGACAATCAACCTCAATTATCAGTTCCTTTAATACTCTAATAAATTTCAATACCAACTATACAGGTTTGCTGTCCAGAATCATTTTCTTCTCATACCTTCTAAAAGAAAAGCAATTAATGTTTGCTTCATTTGAAGTTTTCAAAAAATTTTTTAGATCCTTAATTTCAAATTATTTCTTACCTTTAATAAAGATGGTAATAACAATATCAAACATTAAAAAAAAACTTGATTAACCATACAAAATCTGCTTACTGAAAAACCCACAGAATTAAAAGACCTTTCTATTCTTTATTTAATGAGATAAATTCTTTATAGGCAGAAACTTTTTACAAATGTTTGTTTCTTTGCAGATACTTTAAATTGTTAATAGTTTTCAAGCTGGGAAAGGAATGTAGCTCAGTAAAATTTGTGGAAAAAACAGTTATTTTAACTTCAAATTATCACGTGTACATAAAAACCTTGGGAATTCATGTGAGAAAGAAAAAGAGGGAGTTCAGTGAACAGGGCTTGCTCTGGAGATCAGAATGAATGAGTCCTGTTTCTACCAGTCCTGGCACACCAGATAGAGCAAGCAGTAAGTAAGAAAGAACAAAGGAATAGGATTTTGCCATTAATTGGTTAAGTTGGGTATTGGCATTTTATTAAATCTCAGCAATATCTTGTAGCCCTTTGGTGATAGAGTTAACATGGTTGCTGGTCTTTGCTTAAGGGAAAGCTTAATAAAGATAAAATTAGTTCAAGCACTTTTCTTAAACTTCTGTGAAAACTGAGCTGTATATTTGATGTTGTATAATTTATCACTTATAAAAATGGAATTTGAGAGAAATTTAGGGCTGAGAGGCTATTCTGAGAATATCTGAAATAATTCTAAGGAGTTGAACTTAATGCATAGTTTTAAATTTATCAAATTGCAATCTTTTGAAAGGAAAATTAATTAGTCTGTTTTGAAGTTTCACTGAAAATAACTTAGTAGTTTAACTAGCATTAGTACTAACACACTCTTATATTTTAAGGAACCCAGTGACAATGGACCTCTTTTTACTGAATTAAAGTTTTACCAGCGAGCTGCTAAACCAGAGCAAAGTAAGCAATATAATATATGTGTTCACATTTAAAACACTGCTTTTCATTTTGTTTTGCTTGTATAGGCCAAGGCTAGAGCATTCCATCGTATGGCTCCTTGTTATTTTTTTTTTCCTTTATAAAAAAAATGTAAATTTGGGATTGGAGGGATGGTTCACTTGGTAGAGCACTAGCCAATGAGCAAAAGTGTCAGGTACGGAATTTGAGTCCCATTCTTGCACCAAAAAACTCCCAGACAGTTAAATTTGTTTAAATGACATTTCTGTGAGGTGATCTTGATGTCTTAATAGTTTTTTTCAATTATATTTCACTTATATTGATATAAAGAGTGACATATGACTTAGAAAATATTGTTCTGTATTGAAAGTAGCCTTAGTCCTTGAGTTTGATAGCTGCTCTCACCCTCTGTAGCTTCCAACTGAGCTCCTCAGATATCTCCTTTCTTTTCCCTCTTAAGAACTCCAGACCTATGTTAGAGTGAGAGAAAAGCTTCCTTCCATCTTCCCTACATTTTGATGCTGATTGAAGAGAAGATATACAAGTTATAGAGGAAATCCTCAACTTGTAGAGTAAAAATAAGTCTTCCTATGGAAGCAAATAAATATTTGCATAGAGAAAGAAAATTACTGTACCTAGTAGTATGGTTTTACTTTTTTTTTTTTTTGTCTTGTGCCAGTACTGAGACTTGAACTCCAGCCTCAAATTCTCTCTTGCTTGGCTTTTTTCCTCGTAGCTGGCACTCTACCACGTGAGTCACAGTTCAATTTCCAGCTTTTTGGTGATTAATCGGAGGAGAGAGTTCTCTTAGATTTGATTTGTCTGGCTTCTAACTTTGAGCCTCTGATCTCAACTTTCTGAGAAGCTAGGCTTAATAGGTCTGAGTTCCTGGCTATTTGTGTGTGTGTGTGTGTGTGTGTGTGTGTGAGTGAGAGTTGTGGGGCTTGAACTAAGGGCCTGGGCACTGTCTGTGAGCACTTTTGCTCAAGGCTAGCACTCTAACACTTTCAGTCACAACAACCCCACTTGCAGTTTTTGAATGGCTAATGGAGATAAGAGTCTGAATGGGGCTGGCTTTGAACTCAGCCTCCTGAGTAGCTAGGATTACAGGTATAAGCCACCAGTTCCCAGCTCTTGTTTTTTTTTTTTTTTTTTTAAATAATATTTGAGGTCTGGGAATGTGGCGTAGTGGTAGAGTGCTTTCCTAGCACGCATGAAGCCCTGGGTTTGTTTCCTCAGTACCATATAAACAGAAAAAGCTGGAGATGTAGCTGTGGCTCAAGTGGGGTGCTAGTCTTGAGCGAAAGAAGCTCAGGGACAGTGCCCAGTCCCTGAGTTCAAGCCCCAGGCCTGGCAAAACAAAACCAAATAAAAACTTTAAAAAATGCTTTTGAACCAGGTGCTGATAGCTCATGCCTTGTAATCCTAGCTGAGACCTGAGGATCTTGGTATGAAGCCAGGCAGGTAGGAAAGTCACGAGTCTTAGTGGAGCTGTGGCTGAAGTGGTAAAACTCCAGCCTTGAATGAAAAAGCTAAGGAACAGCACGTGAGCCCAAAGTGCCAGCACTGGTGTGCATGTGCACATACACATACATACGAAACAACAACAAATGCTGCTTGCATATTTTTATTTTTATTTATTTTTTATATGTATTTTATTTTTCATTGTAAAGATACTGTACAGAGGAGTTACAGTTACATGAGTAAGGTAATGAGTACATTTCCTATTGAGAATTGGTACCCCCCTCCTTTGTTTTTTCCCTACTGTCCCTCCCTTCCTTCCACCTCCCTCCTTCCAGTGTAAAGTTTGTTTTCAGCATAGTGTCTTGTACATCTCATTGTTATGGTGGGTCAATCTGTGTTTCAACATTTTGTTATTTCCCTTCCCCTCCCCAAATTAGAGAAATGTATATACAAGATGCAGGACACTGGAATCAAATACAATGACAACAGAGGTTATACCATGGGGAAACCCCATACAAAAGAAACAGAAAATCACATAGTACATTATAAATACATTAAAAACAACAGCAACAAAGGTAAAACCTCTGTGTCCCTATCTTGGGGTTGCTTAGCATCATCTTATATGGTTGTATGTACATAGCATTTGACCTTTTTGCTTGTCTGGTAAGATTATCCTAGATGTATACTAATAGTTATTGCAATCTTTTTTTTATTTTAAAGAATGTTAAAGACAGGGTAACAAGCATTAATAAAATGTTTTGTTTATAAAATACTTCATGTTATACCATACTCTGTTAATAAAGGTGAAGTCTTTATAACTGTATTCTGCTCTTAATGTTTTATTTTAAAATGATCATTTACATAAAGCAATTGAAATCCAGTATCCATTTTAACTTGCAGTTCAGAAATGGATTCACTCCCATAAACTGAAGTACCTTGGTGTTCCTAAGTATTGGGGATCTGGTCTACATGATAAAAATGGAAAAAGGTAAAAACTGCATGGGATTTTTTTTCCCATTCCTTTTTGGACATTTCCTATCTTTAGTCAGCGTTACTTATTGAGCATCCACCTGTCCATAGACTTTTACCTGGGCTGTGTGGACCAAATGTGGTTGGAAATAGATGAGTAAGATACTGTCTCGGCCTTCTTCCTATAGCAGCAGATCACTGCTCTGGAGGCCTTCTGAGTGTAACCCACTGACAGACAGAAAGCCTACGCTAAGGGGCCTGGCTTTTTTTTGGTGTGTGTATGTATGTTCGTGAAACGCCTCTTCATGTCCTTTACACAAGGGAGAACTCTTAGGATTCTACTTGGTATTTCATGTTGGATACATAATCTGGCTATGGAAAAAAAATCAGAATCCTGTTCTTTATCAAAACTAATCTAGCTAGGGAGGAAATATAAACATGTTTGAAACATTTAGGGAACAACTATGTGCTAACTTAGGTAAATTTTTTGACTCAAATGTCTTAGGCCTTGAGAAAGTAAGAATGTTGTTCACATAGCTAAGTTGGAGAAAACCTCTTTATTATTTCAATGCACAATGGGCAGAATTTAAATATTTGAATGGATGATTGGAGCTTTATGACTGGGCTGGTACTGAGACCTCAGGAATAGATTTAGTTTGAAAATAGGGGTGTATTGGTTAAAATGCTCTCAGTTCCAAGTAAAGGAAGACTGCCGTAGCTCTCTTAAGCAGTCACCAAGGGCCCTGGTTCCTTGTCTTGTACTGGCAAGACACAGGAAGGGTTGCTCTGTGCAGCTCAGGCTAGCCTTGGACAGTCAGGCAGGTATGCCATCATACCTGTCGTCCATCTTCAGTCTTGAGTTCTGGAGGTATATGCCATCATACCTGGCCTGACCTGCTTGTTTGCCTTCATCTTGGCTTTCCTTGTATATTCTCAGGGTAGCTGCATATTTCTAGACTTCATGCAAAGTTCCCAGAGGCAGATTTGGAATACTTTCCCAGTCCTGTGGCAGGCTAACCCTTAATGTTTTTTTCAGTCCAAATTTTGTCAGTACTGATTCTTAAGTCAGTTACTGCAAAGGCCAAGTGGCCACAGTGATTGTTCTGGTAAAACATGAGTTGTGTGGGAGAGGATGGAATGCCTGAAACTAAATTGGTGTTCTATTAGGAAAGACTTGAGAGGTAGGGCAAGTGTTGGTAGCTGGTAGCTAGTATCTTATTTGAGATGCGACCATCTCTCACAGAGTGTGGGGCTGCTCGTACCATGTGTACCACATTGTCACTTAGAGTTTTGCAGGAATAAGTTTGCTGTGAGGTGACCAGAGCCTGAGAGAGACAGTCAAGGCTGATGGTAGGCAGTCCCACGAGGGCACTGTCCCAGAGAACCTCAGAGGGGCCGAAGTGCTGACTAGAGCTTCATGGGCTCCATCCTTAATCTTAATCACAGCTTACTGTGGTGATCTCACACCTGCTGTTTCTGCAGATTGAGTTTGCATAGTTGTCTCCTTCAAAGGAGTAGGTGACACATGAGAGTTACATATGATGTGCTGATTTCCTTTTCTGGTTGAGGCTCTTTTAAAATAATGAGTAAACTTCTTTGAAGTGGGAAGAAGTAGAAAGTAAGATTGTTCTCCAATCACCCTTCCTCACCAGAAATACTGTTAGCTGTTACCATTATGAAATAAGTTAATCTGGTTTTTGTCTTCCTGTTACTTGAATTGTTTTATCCAACTCCCTAGAAAAGTATGCATCAAAGTTTTTATGTTAGTGGAGTTACTCAGCGGTAACATAGTTAGATCATAGTACTTGGTGATGTGATAGAGCTGACTTTCCGGAAGAGTGTGGTGACAGTTTCTCTGTAATTTGCAGAAGCTTTAGTTGATATTTGTTATTTAGCCATGGTGAGATGAAGAGATTGTTTAGAGGAGTGAGTTGCCATGTGCACAAAAACAAAGACCTGTTTAATATAGTTTGTTAGCAGACCTTATGCTGAAGTGAGCAATAGTGTTTGAGCCCTCTTTTAGACTATCACAGAGGGAGTAATAACACATGTGTTATTATAATTACACACATCACTTTCTTGTAAAATCTTATTTGTAAAAATATTTGTTATGGTCTCATCTCTGAACCTTTCAAAGCCTGCTATAAAGGAAAACCAGGATAAAATTACTGTTCCTTTTTTACTTTAGAGGTCCTGGTAAGAGGAAATATTACATGAGTGATTTTTTTCTGCCACTGTTAGAAATAGCTTGGGATGTTGGGGTGTCACATAGGAGTAAGGACACCAATTCGAAAGGTACTTGGCAAGGCAAAGTTTACCTGTGTAGAGAGAGAGAGTGCACCATCAGCTAAAAAACGGGAAAGCAAGCACACACAGCAGGCAGGCTGCTCCTTTTTTATTCCTAACAGAGCAGGCCCCACCCTCTGCTCAGATTGGCTGAGCTCAGGTTCACAATCTGCAAAGGGGTGTGGCTTAATTAACAATGCAAGTAAAATTCAAGGAGCATCTAACAGGATGTAGTAATTAAAGTGCTCAGGAAAAGGATCTATATAAGGACAACAAAGGTCAAGCCACCTGCCCAGGCAGGAACCCTTTAGAAAATTCTTTCAATATTTAAACAGAAAGGAAGCAGACTACTTTGACAGAAAAGACACTTTTTTCACACCACTGTTTGACTTTGGACAAAACACTTTACATTGTCCACATTATTTAAAATGTGCAGACAAGATCTCTTTTCTTCCAATTCAACAATGTAAAGAATCCTGAATTTTGTATTATCATGTTTTTTAAAAAAAATATATATATGAGTTGGTTCTTCCTTCCTTGTTAAAATAAGCATACTGTATTGTTGTCATAAACCTCTTAGTAAGTGGGATTTTGTGTTCTCCTGACTTAGAAACTTGGTGTGGTTAGAAGTGTGGGCCCACCACTTCCTAGAAGACAGACTTGTCAGTTTTCTTGTTTTGAACTAAAGGTGACAGGAGCGCCCCCTAGTATCCGTGCAGTGAGGTTCATGTGCTTTGAACAGTGTTATGCTCATACCAAGTGTTTGGCCAAAGCTGCCTCTTAGCATGTCTCCTTATGCCATCCCTGTTGGAAGACATTCTGACACATTTTGAGTGTGGTCTTGGTTTTTATTGATAGCTTGGAAGGATTAATAAGACAAGTTGGAATTTGGAAAACTGTTGAAGACACAAGTGATCTTCAGAGGAAAAACTAAATAATGTTACTGCAAGCCAGTAAGGCTTTTTAGTCTATACCAAGCCTTGAAATTTGAGGGTTAGAAAAGCCATTAGTGAGATGAGTCCCTACTTCATTTTACTTTTGTCACCATTGCAGCCAAGGAAGTGAAGTAATGTTACTTGGTCGACGTGACAGCTGTTTGGTGGTAAAACCAAAAACCTTTGCAATTTGCCAGCGTATTTATTTTCTACATCTTGGCCATTGAGTGTTTAATGTTTTAACTATTCTTTCTCATCATTTAAAGGATTGTTATTGAACTTAGTTGTTACAGCTTCTCTGACAAACTTGGTCATAACAGAAAGTTGGGGCTGCTGAATGTACCCAGGAAGTAGAGGAGCAGCCCCAGGAAGGAGGGGGGCTGTCTAGAAACAGACTGGACTCAGGAGAGGGACCAGTACAGGGTTCTCATTCTCATTCAGACAATCTTAGTTTTATTGCAGGTGAGTGTGTTAGACAGTCTGCGTGAGTGTTATTGTAAGTAGAATGTTACCTCCTCAGCATAACAGACTTGGAAGAAGCCCTCTGAGTAAAAGACCGGGCAAGAAATAGGAATTCCTGATTTCTAATTAGTAGAAATGTTCAAAGCTTGTACGTATTTTCTCCTGTTTTGATTTTAAAGAATACTGTCTTATTAAACATTGACTTGAAAAAAATCATTTTGAAAGGAGAATAATGTCTGTGAAATGTTGGGATATTCTCCTCAGTTATATTTTCTTCATTGCCCTTTCCTTTTTTTTTTGTTGGTCTTCAGTTACAGGTTTATGATAATGGATCGCTTTGGGAGTGACCTTCAGAAAATATATGAAGCTAATGCTAGAAGATTTTCTCGGAAAACTGTGTTGCAGCTAAGCTTAAGAATTGTATGTGAGCTATATTCTTGTTTGGAAAACAATTGTTTTTAATACAGTGAAGGCAAGTTTCTCTTGAAGCTTGGTCCTCTGCTGGCTGCTGTTGGGTACTGCATTAATTTTATTGTGTGTGATATTTTCATAGCTGGAAATTCTGGAATATATTCACGAGCATGAGTATGTACATGGAGATATTAAGGCCTCAAATCTTCTTCTGAGCTACAAGAATCCTGACCAGGTAGTTTCATAACTTTAGTTTCTACTATTTAAAACACGTTTGAAAACAAATATGGTTGTTCTGAACTCTTGAACCCAAGCAGAAGTTTTACTTTATGAAGTAGATCGGGTAATAATATTTCTTTTTGACACTTTTATCTAGTTAACATTCTACATTTTTGATGCAATTTGCTGGCACTTTATCAAGTTGGCTATTTTACCCTAAATAATATTCAGAAGAAGTGCTTGTGATACAAAATGAATTTCAAATAGCTGTTTGGGGGTGGAAGCTTAAAATTACATAGTACACCAATGAATTATGTTTGCCTGTCTGCGTTGTCACTTTTTTTATTTCCTTTGTTCAAGAAATCCATCAAATGTAAGTGTTCTGTTACTTGGAAAATTTGGTCTTTAACATGTTGATTATTCAAATCAATTGGTTTACAGAAATATCTGAGCTGTCTAAATTTGTATACCCTTAGTGTTTGGAATTCAGATGTGCATTTTAAAAAGTTTGTTACATGCCTTTCTACTTTGTATTGTTTAAGTGGAGAAAAGCTACTACTGGCCCTTCATTTGGGTCAGTTTACTTGGAATGGAGGGAGGGATCTGCACAGTTTTCTTGTGCCTGTTATTCATGGAATTTGTCAAGTTCAGTTGTCATTCATAGTGGGGTCATGGTACTTAACCTGTATTCACTTTTTGGTCTTGTATGTAATAGGAAGACTTTTAAGCATTTTAAAGCATTTTAACTGTGTTGAATACGTCTCTGATAAAAACAAGAGTTGGGTTTGGTGGTGTATACCTGTATTCCTAGCACTTGAGAGGCTGAAGCAGGAAATATTCAAGAGTCCCAGGTAGCCCTACACTACATGGTGAGATGCTATCTCAAATAGCAAAAACAAAATAACAAACCAAACATAGCTAAGAAAGTAAGTTGTAAGGATCCCATTAATTGAAGTGGGCTGCATTTGTATAATACAGAAGTTTAACTCATCAATTTGCAGGCATGTGCTTTGGATAGGATTACTTTTTTAGTGTTTGATCCATCCTTATACTTGATTTTAGTTTTACCTTATCCCTGTACTTAGTTACCTGAAGGAAAACTGTAACAGGGGCTATGGGAAACAGGAAATCAGGAAATAGGCTAATCAAAACCACATATATGTGCCATACAGATTGTAGATACATTGTGCAAAGATAGGTTAATTATGAAGTGATTAATATTTAATTATTAATTTGTAGTATTTAAATGTAGATAAGAAGCTGGGTGCTGGTGGTGTAACCTTGTACTCTATCTGTGCAGGAGGCTAAAATCTGAGGATCTCGGTATAAAGTTAGCGGGGCCAGAGTCTTTTCTCCAATTAACTAGTAAAATGCCAGAAGTGGAGCTATGCTAAAGAGGTAGAGCACCAGCCTACAAGGAGAAGCCAAGTGAGAGACTTGAGGCCCAGTGTTCAAGCTCCAGTACAGACATAAAAATAAAGAAATTTAATATAGATAAGGGTCTCATCTAAAAGTTGTTTTTTTTCTTTTCTCTTTATTTTAATAGTATTGGGTTGGACTCAGGGCCCTACCTTTGCTAGGTAATCATTTTACTACTTGAGCCATATCCCTAGTCATTTTTGCTTTCAGTTTCCTTTCAGATAGATTTTTATGATTTTGCCCAAGCCTGGCCTTAGGGGGCTTTGATCCTCCTATCTCTACATTCTGCAAAATTGGCCTTACAGCTGTGTGTTGTGGCACCACCTTGTTTGTTGAGGTAAAGTCTTGCTAACTTTTTTGTCCGGGCTAGTCTCAAGCTGCCGTCCTCTATCTGTACCTGATATGTAACTGATTACAGGTCTACACCACCACGTTCAGTCCTTCAGATCATTATTTGAAACCTTGAAGTATTTTTATGTAGTAAATTGATATTTGACCATTTTATAACTGAAGAAATAGGAATAGAAGATAACTGTTGCATCATGTGTTAATTAATTTAGCATCTTGTACTGTGTGCTTGTTTTCATGCAGAGTATTGTTTGTATTTCAATACGTATTGATGGTTTACTTTTGTGTTCACTTTTGTATTAGACCTTGTGAGAAAGTGTAAGCTCTATGAGACTTGCTCAGCAAGACAAGATTAATTATAAGTTTAACATATACTTCTCTAAAAAAAGTATATCAAGAGTATCAAATGATATTATCCAGAATATAGTCACATGGTCATTTAATATTTTTAGTCAAAACAGATTCCTGGGCTGGTTTTGTAGATCAGTAGAATTGTAGGAGATCAAGAATGTGCAAGTTTCTGACTTAGATCTCCTTAAGTAAATGAAGTGATTTTTAAAAAAATTATTGTGTGCGTTTTGCATTTCACTCATTTGGAGTATTTGCCTTTGTAGGTGAATTGACCCCCAAATAATATTTAATTCTATATTTTATTTATTTATTTATTTTGGGTCCGGTTGTGGGGCCTGAACTCTGGGCCTGGGCGCTGTCCCTCAGCTCTTCAGCTCAAGGCTAGTGCTCTACCACTTGAGGCACAGCGCCACTTCTGGCTTTTTTCTTTTTGCTTATGTGGTGCTGAGGAATCGAACCCAGGGCCTCAGGCATGCAAGGCAAGCGCTCTACCACTGAACCACCTTCCCAGCCCTTAATTCTATATTTTAAAGTAGCACGTACAATTGCTTTGCCTTTAAATTGTCTTGATTATTGGAAATTTATAGGTGTACTTGGTGGATTATGGCCTTGCTTATCGCTACTGCCCGGAAGGAGTTCATAAAGAATACAAAGAAGACCCCAAAAGATGTCATGATGGCACTATTGAATTCACCAGCATCGATGCTCACAATGGCGTGGGTATGTCCACAGTTTTTGAATGAGAAACCCTACTAATGTTTTCAACTGAGTTCTTACACAATTCTTGATGGATGCAGATGGATAAGGATTGGAAGAGACAAAGTGGGGATGGGAAAGGGGATAGAGGTTATTCTCTCTCTCTTTTTTTTTTTTTTTTTTTTGGTGGTTTGTGGGGCTTGAACTCTGGGCCTGGGTGCTGTCCCTCAGCTCAAGGCTAGTGCTCTACCACTTGAGCTATAGCACCACTTCCAGTTTTCTTGTGGTTAATTGGAGATAAGAGTCTCACGGACTTTCCTGCCTGGGCTGGCTTTGAACCATGATCCTCAGATCTCAGTCTTCTGAGTACCTGGGATGACAGGTATGAGCCACCAGTGTCCGCTTATTCTCCCACTTTTGTGGAACAGGGTGTCTCCCACCATGCTCCTGCTTGAAGATAACTGAGCAGGTTCATCTACCTGTACTCAGGACGTCCAATTACTTTTATGTATGATTGCAGGCTGGTTGGATTTATACTTTCCAAACACAATATTACATGTGTCATAGTTTCATAATTTTGTCTTCCTAGATTAATAGTCTGAGTTTGTGATCCTAAAGTTTATGAGTTTGGATGATCGTTAGTGGGAGATAAGTTTGTTGTAATGAGGCCTAATGCTCGGTTCTTTCAGTGCAAGAGCTGACACGATGATGGAAAGAGCCTGGAGTAGCCTGCTTCACTTCACTGACTGCTTTATATACACCCTAACTTGGACCTTGAAAATGATTTTTAGTGTGCTTAATCTTCTTTTGTATTTGTAGCGCCTTCACGACGTGGTGATTTGGAAATACTTGGTTATTGCATGATCCAGTGGCTTAGCGGCCATCTTCCTTGGGAGGATAATTTGAAAGATCCAAACTATGTTAGAGATTCCAAAATTAGGTAAAGGACAACTTAAAACTTTGGTGGGGGGAGGGGGATAAGTTATGCTAGGGAAAATAGTTTTAGTCAGAATTTCTGGACAGGAACTATAGTGTTTTAATGTTTTGTTTTAAAATTTGTATGTGTTTTTTGTTTTGAGAAAGGGTCCTGCTTTGTAGTCCAGGCTTTCCTGGAACTTGAGATCCTTTTGCCTCAGCCTCCCAAGTGCTAGAATTATAGGTATGCATCACCATATCCAGCTCAGAACAGTAGCTTTAACTGACACCAATGTAGAAATTAGAAACTACATGTTAAACAGTAAGGTTCTTTGGAGTTGGTTCGGTTTATTTTAGAAGACTATCTGAAATCATATTTGGGATATAATACAATGCTACTTAGTGTGCAATTTACTGTTACTAGATAGGTAATCTATGATACCATGTTTGACTGTTTCATTTTTAACAGATACAGAGAAGATATTGCAGGCTTGATGGATAAATGTTTTCCTGAGAAAAACAAGCCAGGTAGGAAAAGACTGAAATGTGGGTAGGGAGGAGAAAAGTGTGATGCCCATGAAATATGTCTCATGCACAAGTTCTGGTGGTTTTAGATGTAGACTTTGTACTGGGGTATCTCAAAGAGGCACTTCCCACTCCCCAGTTGGGTGGCTGTGTGAGACTCATTCAGTTGTTCAGTTCATTGTACTTAAGGACATTTAATTTTAATAATCTTTATTTTAAGCCCAGTGTGGTGGCTTGTTATAATCCTAACAACATGGGAAGCAAAGATCAGGAAGATCATGGTTTGAGGCCAGCTCAGGTAATACGTTAGAAAGATTCTCCCTCCTCCCTCATTTCAACCAATGAAAAGGCTGCATATGGTGACAGATGCCTGTCATCTCCACTCTGTAGGACACATCAACAAGAGCATCCAAGCTGACTAGGGCATAAATGAGAGACTATATTTAAAAAAATGAAAAAAGCCCAAAGGGCTAGGGTTCTGCATAGCACCTGCTTGGCAAGTGTGAGGCCCTGAGTTCAAAACTCAGTAGGGGGAAGTAGAGCTGTGCCTCAAGTGATGATAGATCACCAGCCTTGAGTGGAAAAACTACAGGATAGCGCTTGGGCTCAGGGGACTGAGACTCGACCCTCAGTACTGGCACAAAATAAAAAGAAAAACAAGAGTAGTATCCTACTCCCAGTCTACTCTAGTTCTTTTTGTGCTTTTTAACATTTGTCTTAAGTAAATTTTTTTTGTCTTTCACAATTACCATTTGTTTTTACAGTCTATCTAAAATTTTTTAAAATTTATTTTTATTTTGCTTGTCAATTCCCAAATTAAAAACATACTTTTCATTGGACAAGTGATTGCAACAAAAGACTCTTCTTGACAAGATGTACACACACACATTCTCATTTTATGGTAGTCATAAATTATGTTCGTACAGGTAGGAGAACTAGATCAAATTTTGATTACAGTTTAGAAAAGGATGGTGTTATTTTTCAGGTGAAATTGCTAAATACCTGGAAACTGTGAAATTACTGAACTACACTGAGAAGCCTCTGTATCAGAATTTACGTGACATTCTTCTACAAGGGCTAAAGGCCATAGGAAGTAAGGATGATGGTAAACTGGACCTGAGTGCTGTGGAGAATGGCGGACTGAAATCCAAAGCAGTGACAAAGGTGAACTCTCACATCCTCCTCGCGCTTCTTACAAGTTAACCTGTGCTAATAGTGAAGTACAAGAATAATTCTGTGATGAAAATAATAGATTGACAATGAAATATTTATCACTTGCAAGGACAAACTCCTTTTACAGTGTAGCCAAAGTATAGAGGCTTGTGGGAAATAACTACATAGGCTACTACTGGACATACATAGCTGCGTATGTGTTAGGATGGTACCTTGTGATGCTGATAAGCCCGCAGAAGGATTTTGCTGACCCTGACCCAACTGATTATCTGCATCTTCCCCCTCAGTCATATCTTGGGCTCAATCTTAGCTCAGTTTTTCTGTGTTGATGGTGTGTTAATATTTGACCTCTTCAAACTGGGCAGATGTAATTGGTCTTTTTATTGGTCTGTTCTGTCATTTGAACATTATTTTGCTGTTTAAGTGAATGTTGGCGAGCTCAAAGATCATCAAAGTCATCAAAATGATGACCTTAATGCTAGAAGTGTTTCAGAGTGTTTAGGACTCCTGAGAGCACCTTAGAATTTAGATTATAGAGGTTGCATTAACTTCTACATGCACTATTGATTATTTTTTAAATAATTAGTTATATTTACTGGTTTCCTTTCTTAACTAAAATGACTTTTCTTTGTTTTTCATTTTTTAAGACAAGGTCTCACTGTTGTAGCCAGGCTAGCCTCAAGCTTTCAATCTTCCTGCCCTTGCCTCCTGACTGCTCGGTTACAGGTGTGAGTTGCTTGGCTATCATCTAAATAAGCTGCTGGTTTTATATGGGACAGGAAATCTTGTTAAAGAAAAACCTTTTTCATATTATTAACTCTGCTATTAACTGCAAATTTCAGTAGGTTTCATCAGATCTCTCATAATTTTAAACTATGAGAAAAAGACTGGAAAACAGATTTTATCTTTAAAATCAGGAGCAGCCTATTAAGAGAGATTCCTGTCTTTAACTGACAAAGGTGATTAGTATCACAAAATTGGATCAGGAAAATCTGGTCTCATGGTAATGTCATTATACAATGTCATCTAGACACTCACAGCTGCATAGACATTGTTTTTTTAAAGTTTTGTCCTCAATTGCACCTGTTCATTTTTGCCATCTGCAAGTGTGCTGGGAACCAGATCCAGGACTGAAGGGAAGAGAAAGTGGAGCCCGTGTGCAGCGAACCTATTGTTCGCACGCAGGCTGAAGCAGACAGCGTGCACTTTCTGCTCTGTCAGATTCCTTGGCATTAATATTTTCAGCTAGTTTCCTCTGAAGTTTACTGACTGTGGAGTCAAGATTTCTCCTGCAGAAGGAGCTTGTCCAAAGTACCCCACTCTCTGGAAATCCCTGTCTTTGTCCCTACAACGCTGGGGTGAGCCTGGCTTCTGCAGGCTGGCTTACATTACACCAGAGTTCAAGCTGCCGCAGAGCTTCCCTCTGTGGCCCTGGATTTCTATTCGTCCTGATGGCTCCTGAAGCTGGGAATATCCTGTGGGGTCATCTGGATACAGCTTCACTTAAAGCAAAAGAAAAGGTTGCAACGTTGGGAGGCTCAGTTGATTAGTTGACTTTTTTTGGTATACTCACTGCTGACACAAGGCTAAACTTTGTAGTAAAAAGAAGTTAATTAAAATTCAGATTAGGTTGTGGTAAGGCCATGAAACTGCTTTGATAGCTCTACAACTGAAGTGAGATGAATATTGTTAATTTTTCTTTCTTTTGTTTGCAATGTAAAGTAATTGGGCCAGACTAACTTTTAAAGCAGGGCTCTGCTGATGATATAGCTTTAAGGAAAAGACTTTTGCTCTTTGAGAAACTAGTATGCTGCCTTTTTTTTTTTTTCCTGGTATTATTTTAAAGTAGTTGTACAATGGGGCTACAATTCCATAAGTATAGTGTTTCTTGGTTAATGTCATATCATTCATTTTTCTCCTATACCTTTTTCCCATCCCTGCCCTCAAGTAGTAGTTCAGTGTTTACATTATGTCCATTGAATATGATGACTGCATTTGCTCATCATTCTGCTGTCCATTGTGTACTGCCCCTTTGCTCACTGCCCTCCCCCAAATTGTTTCCACTTACTGATACTTGTTTTGATAATAGTATATTAGTTGTTCAGTGGTGTTATAACTGAATTCTTCATCTAAGTGTACCTATGTTTTTAAAAGAGCAAAGTTTATAAGAGCTTTCCCCTCCTCTGGTTACCAGGAAGCTGCATTTTCTCCCTGTTCCTTTTCTCCTTTTGAAGTCTTAAGTTACAAACTGTATAGTTACTAGGCTGAAGTCTTTTCTGGAAAGGGATAGGTTTAATAAACTCAATGTATATTTTTATGTTCCTAAGAGGTATCCTTTATAGTAGAATTTATAAGAATTGGTCAACAGTAGAGAAGCAGAGTTTTATCCATTGTTTGCAACCATGCTTCATTATGGTGCTGTATATTTGGAAACTAAAGTGAAATAGGAATATACCCCCTTGGAAATACTGTTAGCTCAATAGCCAAAGAGTTTTATTTAATGCACAGAACCTTGGAAATGTTTAAGCTGGAGAAGAAAGAGACTAAGTATAAATCTTGCTTTAAAAAGTACAGGGTTAGGGCTGGGAAGGTGGCTCAGTGGTAGAGTGCTTGCCTTGCATGCATGAAGCCCTGGGTTCGATTCCTTAGCACCACATAAGCAAAAAGAAAAAAGCCGGAAGTGGTGCTGTGGCTCAAGTGGTAGAGCGCTAGCCTTGAGCTGAAGAGCTGAGGGATAGCGCCCAGGCCCAGAGTTCAGGCCCCATGACCAGATCTCCTCCCCCCCCCCCCAAAAAAAAGAAAAAAAAAAAAAGTACAGGGTTAGCCAGATCCTGGCGGCTTAGCCTATAATACTTAACTGGTAGGCAGAAATGAGGAGGATTGCAATTAGAGGCCAGCTCAGGCAAAAAGTTAGTTATACTCACCTTCACCAACAAGCTGGGTGTGTCAGCACAGGTAAGATCATGGTCTTAGCCTGGGCAAAAAACATGACACCATATTTGAAAAGTAGCTAAAGAGCAAAGGGTTGCTGGGTTTGGGTGGCTATTTCAAGTGGTATGGTGGCTGCTTAGCAAGTGTGAGGGCCTCCCTAAGTTCAAATTCCAGTACCACCAAAGGGAAAAACTCACAATACCCCCCCCCCCCAATCTTGACATTACAATGCAATAGATTTAGTGTGTACTAAAATTGCGTAGTTATGCAGAAGTTCTAATTTATGTAACTAGTCTGAGCTAGGTCTCTGGAACTACAATTCTTCCCTAGCTGGGTGCTGGTGGCTCACGCCTATAATCCTAGCTACTCAAGAGGCTGAGATCTGAGGACTGCAATTCGAAGCCACTCAAGGCAGGAAAGTCTGTGAGTCTTACCTGTAATAAATTACTCTGAAAAAGCTAAAACTGGTTCTGTGGCTCAAATAGTAGTGTGCTAGCCTTGAGCAAAAGAAGGTCAGAGACAGAGCCTAGGTCCAGAGTTTAAGCCCCAGGACCAGGAAAAAAAAATTCTTCCCTGTAATGTTGGCTAAAAATAGCTTAGTTTACTGGAAGAAGCTCACCAAGTAAGAAGGATACGGATACTGCTATTAGCCATCTTCTTTTAGGGTGTTGACTAAGTTGCCTGTACAACTCCATAGAAAGTCTTGGGTTTCTAGAGCGTGGTCCTGTGGTTTTTATGGGTACCTTGCAGTTTCCTATTATGTATTAGCCCTGTCAGTAATGTGCACATACTCTTCTTTGCTTCTCTATTTTTTACCCCTACTATAAAATGATGTATGTATATAATGTATATCTGTCTCTATCTATCTATCTATCTATCTATCTATCTATCTATCTATCTATCTATCTATCTATCTATCTATCTATCTATCTATCTATCTATCTATCTATCTATCTATCTATCTATCTATCTATCTATCTATCTATCTATCTATCTATCTATCTATCATCTACCTCAGTTGCTGACTGGACTTGCCAACGTTTTCCTGAACAAAATTACTTCCCATAGTTAAATAATTGTCTGCTGGCACTGAGCCTGGAACTGGGCACAGAATTGAATGAGAGACTGTGGCTGTTCTGGTGGGCAGTTTCCTCCTGTCTCCCAGGGGATGGCATTGCACACGGTTTATGACATACCATGTGGCCCGGAGGGGATGTCTGAACTCATCCCAAGGATGAAACTGACTTGATCATGGCCTATGATTAATTTTTTTAATGTTGAATTCTATTTTCAATGATTGTATGTGTTTGTGTGTATGAGTGCATGCATGCATATGTGCCAGCTTGGGGCCTGGACATTGACCCTGAGCTGTTTTGCTTAAGGCTGGCTCTACCACTTGAGCCACAGCTCTACTTCTGGCTTCTTGGTAGTTGATTGGAGATAAGAGTAGCGAGGACTTTCTGCCTGGGCTGGCTTTGACCTGCATTTCTCAGATCTCAGCCTCCTGAGTGGCTAGGATGACAGGTGTGAGTTCCTGGTACCCAGCCATTTGCAAGAAATTTATTGTAAATTTTTGCATCGGTATTCCTCACGAGATTAATCTATTCTCTTTTTCTGGCTTCTGGTCTTGGAATGAGGGTAATACTGGCTTTACTGAACGATGCAGCGTTCCTTCTTTTTCTGTTTCATGGGAGAGTTTGTGGCGATTGGTGTTCTCTGAAGTTCTAGTAGTATTCAGCCATGAATCCATTTGGCTCTGGGCTTTTCTTTGTTGGGAGACTTTTTATTACTTCTTCAATCTTATTGCTTGTTACAGCTCTGAAGAATATTATTGGAATCTCTGTCAGGAAGCATGTTCATTTCAGACTAGGTTGCATTGCTATGGTTATATTCGGCTTCTGAACACGTCTCTAAAGCTGCCCTCTCAGTTTATATCCAACCCACCAGCAGTTACCGCCAATCATGGATACTAGACATTACATTATGTTTCATTTTACCTATTTTAGTTGTATGTGCACTGATTTTGTGTGTGTGTTGCCAGTAGTGGGGATTGAACTCAG